CTCACCGGCGTGTGTTCACCCTCCCAGGTGCGCACACACACTCATTCACACACACAAATCTCAGGAACAAACGGTCCCAGAGTCCTCCGGGACCCCCGCCCAGGGTCTCTGCTGGTCTCTGCCCCACGCGTTCCCGTCGCTGACAAAGCCACCAGCTGCCTCCTTTACGCTTGGTGCTCCGGCTCTGGGCCTTTTCTCGCGCTCTCTCTCTCTCTCTTACTCTTTCTCTCTTTTTTAAAGTAAAACAACAACAAAAAGACAATGAAAAAACCCAGAAAACGTCATGTGAGTGAAGAGATGTCATTGTCTGTGGTCTTGGAGAACTAGTCTAGTAGCTGAAGGGAGGGATCCCTCCCATCTGGGGCACTGGCACCCACAGCAGGATTGATGCCAGTCTGATGCCAGGACTGAATAAAGTGTATTTGCCCCTACCTCGCCCTGTGGTTCTACATGTCTGTGCCTTTCCTCGACCCTTCCCAAACAGTTTGCCAGATTTAAGTCTTTCATTAGCACCGTTCAGGAAGAGCTGGGGGGTTCCAGGGCAAGGCACCTGGCCCATCCAGCCTCTGTCTCCCTCTATCTCAGGACGCCCTGGGCTTCATTAAGGATGGCAAACTCATTTCTGCAGGGGCCAGGCAGGTAACATAAATGAATGGGAGTCTGGGTGGACATTGGTTTCATGACCCACTGGGGGGAGAGGGGGTTGCTCACCTGTCAGTTGTGACCCTGTGGGATTGCAGCCCACGGTGGCCAGATGGCTAGATTTTTCAAGAGAAAGTGGAGTCTATTTCTATGATCATCTCAATTTCAAAATGAAAGCCGACTCAGATGTTTTTAAATCCTTGTGGAGCAAATGAAATGTGTGAGACACACTTGGTCCAAGGGGGGCCAATTTGACCCTGATCTTAATGAGGATTAAGAAGCAGTGTTGGGCTCAAAGCCTAGCTCCATTACCTGTGTGACCTTGAGCAAGTTCACTTGACCCTGACTCTTCTTTCCATATGCGTAATATGGGGATGATAGTAGTACCTGCTTCATAGGGTGAAATGGAGCTCGAAGTGAGGCGCATTTACCACGGTGCTCCAGAAACTGTGTTACTCCCTTGTCCAGAGGAGGAAACTGAGGGTCAGAGTGGCGAAGAGCAACCAAGATCAGAGACGGGGCTCCAAATCTTGGGTCTGTCTCTGTATTACTTCAGGGTGCTACCTCTCCCCATGTGAAACTGCACATGGCTCAGAGCCTGGAGTGGTGGTGTTGGTCCCAGTGCTGGCACATAATCGGCCCAAAGCATAAATTTATTAAATGAGTAAAGAAAAGCAGCAAGCAACAATGATTCCTACCCTTGAGATTCTCATCATGTGTTTTGGAAACTGAGACCAAGGCTCTCAAAAGTCTTTTGTGCCCCGGACACCCCTGCACCTTAATTATTCCTCTACCAGATCCTGTGAATTCCTAAGGTTGGACAAAGCCTGTTTCCCCAGTGAGAACCAAGGCCGCGTGTGCAGACCTCATTTAGAGAGGGTGTGCGGGGACTGGGATACCCTTAGGTGATTTAAAGGGGGACTAGGGCACAGTTTGGGAGGGCTGGGTGTGTACAGGAAGGTGGTCTGGGGCAGTGCAGAAATGACAGCGACAGTTTCTCAGCTTCCCCAATTGGAAACAAGATACCCCACCCACCAAGTGCTATAAGAAAGAGCTAAGGACTGTGGAAGACAGATGCGTGTCCCCCATAACCCCCTTCAAGGAAGGACTTCCCCAGCTGCAGGAAATCTGGTCAGCGGAGAGCCGCTCCCTGTCAGCTCTGTGAGGGTCCGCTCCAGTTGCAGAGCGCCATTCACCCAGGGCTGCTGTGTGGTGTCTGAGTGAGACCAGGGGTGACTGCCCGGCCTTCTCGGTTCAGGGTGGGACAGACTCGGCAGACAGTACTGTGCCGCCCCCCCCCCCCCAAGGCCCCTCCAGGGTCAGGGAGGCTTTGCCAGGCCTGCAGGGCCATTTGACTTCCTATACCCAATCCTGCTTCCTCCCTTTTCTTTTCACAGGTGCTTATCCCTAATAAATACTTTGCACCCCAACCTCAGTCTCTGTGTCTGTTTCTGGAGAACCCAGTCTGCAATGGAGGATGCGAGGGGCTGGACAAAGGGCCTTGGGTAGCTGGCTCAGCAACGCTGGCCTGGCACCTCTGATCCCGCCACCCCTGGGAGTTGGTGTCAGGAGGAGTCTACTCACCCCACCAACACGGCCCCAACCTTAGGGTCATACCCTTTCCAGTAGGCATCCCATAGACACACCAGCGTCAGCCACAAGGCCCTCCGGAGCCCTCTGCTCATGTCATTCTCATGTGAAGTCCCTCCTGGCCGAAGCTGAGGAAGGGCGGTCCTCAGTCTGTGTTTGCCCTTCGGAATCCTCAGGGAGGAGGCGGGGGCGGGGAGGGTAAATGCCTGGCTGTTTACCGTGCCAGAACGTCAGCCTTGGCCCAGGCTGTTTCCCTCTGCGGGCCTTGGTTCCCGCACATGTGAAGTGGAGGAGATGGGATAGGAATCGAGGAGAGACCATTTATTATTTGGTTCCTTCCATTTCAGAAGGAAATGGATTCTGACCTGAGAAAGGTGGGGAGATCTGCTTGTGTGGACTCTGGGGACACCTAGTGGCTGAACGGAGTAGGACGCGACTGGGGCTGGGGCTGGGGGTGTGTCCATCTCCAAGCTCACTGCATTCGTGCAGTCATTGACTCAACAGTCAGGTCCCTTGCCTGGGTTCTTTGAGCCATCCTGGTTCCAAGGCTTAAAGACACGTACACGCTGATCTGTTGGTTCGCTATCGCTACATAATGAACTGCCGGAATTGAGCAGCTTAAAACCGCGTGTTTATTGTTCACAGGAGGCCAGGGATCTCACCAGGCTGCAGTGAAGGTGTTGGCTGGGCTGCATTCCTTTCTGGAGCTCAGCATTCCCTCCAAATTCACGTGGTGGTGGGCAGAATCCAGGTCTTGTGTTTAAGAATGGGGTCCCTGTCTTCTTCCTGGCTGTCACCTGGGGCCACGCTTGATTCCGGAGCTCCGTTCCCTTCTTCACAGGCCTCCTCCCAGAACGGCAGCTTCTTTGTCAAGGTCAGCAGGAGAGCCTTCCTCTGCTTCCAGTCAGTGGACTCAGGAAGGCTCTATTTTTAAGGACGTGCTTGATCCAATCACC